TTTTACTTTCTAAAAATAAATTTAGCTTGAAAATATAAAGAAAATTAAAGGAAATTATCATATCAGAAATACAAAATACTAGAAAATATACAAGTTATATAAATAAAATAAATAATGAGAAAATTACACAAATATTTATGAAAAATATTTTAATGTATCAAATAAAAACTAACTAGTATATTTAATATATGTACATATAACTCTACAAAAATTGAATTCAGCTTTTACCTCATGTCAAACAGTGGACTATCCCTAGATACCCTAGTATTTTGTCTGGCTCTAACTGTTAGCTGTGAGCCGTTCTGTTTTCCAATTATTGTTGCTCTTGTTGTAATCAGCTTTTATTGTTGCTGCTGTTGTCTCAGCTGCCGTTTGAGATTTTGGTTTCTAGTGAAAGTTATGCTTTTTTTTCATGCCATCGCCAGGTTTTTTATTTTTTTGTCATTTCGTCGCGTCTACAGCGGCCTTTCCATTTCACTTTGAGCCACTGGACTGGAAAGCTGTGTGTTGCGGACTGCCTCACGATGGCCCCCCCCTCTCAGTGCCCCCTCGCTGGCTCTTCGATCCGCTCATCAAGTCAGGCCAGGCAGTGAGGCACGCATGCGCGTTAAGTGCAGCCACAATGCCAATGCCTTTTGTATTTATCAGTTGTGAGATGCGAGCTTTACAGAATCTTTCACGCTTCAGTTGTCAGACAAGCTGCTCCCCCCTCCCCATCTCCCTGGCTCACTCTGTCTCTCTGCTTCTCTTTCTCTGGGCTGACATACTTTCGCTTTCATTTGAAATAAGCCTGGCATTGCACTCGCGCTTGTGACATAATGCACTATTTGAAATTAATGCTAAATGATTATTTATCGGCTCGCTCGCTCTGCCTCTGCCTCGGCACAATGCCTCTTGTTGTTCTGCTGCTCCGAGTGAAACTTAAGCTCTAGTTGTTTTTTTTTTCTCCTCCAAGTTTTTTGATTAATTACGCTCACTGCGCTTTACATTTCGAAAGCGTTTCATTTCGTTTTTCTTGCTCTTTCCCTCTCCCTCTCTCTCTTTGTTGCTGTTGAACTTTTGTTGACCCTGGCTTTCAACTTTCGTGCTGTTGCCCTCATTTTCCTGAATTGGGCTTTGCCGGGGCGTTCAACAAATTTTTGCGCAAATTTTGTAACACGGCGCAACAAATCAATAATTATTAATAGCAGCAGCATCAGCGGCAGTGGCAACACCTTAAACCTCATGTTCAAGGTCAAGTTTGCAGGTATGTGTGTGTGAGAGAGAGAGAGACAAAGAGAGACAGACTCGTGCGTGTGTTTTTCCAGCTTGTTTAACCATTTAAAAACATAATTACGTTTATCGCACATGCCACGCACACCTGCCCAGGTGTGCTGCGCCTCGCAGCGGCTCTCCTCCATCGTCGCATTCACATTCGAATTCCTCTGGCCAATGTAAACAAAAGAAATAGTAAATCAACTATTTGCGCAAATTAACAAATATTGTTTCGTTTGGAACAGTGCAACAGTTTCAAATGTTGCAAATGAAAGGTTCAGGCTACGCAATATATGTGCTCACACACATACATACATATGTTGTGCGATAATGCCTCGAAATCGTGAGTTAGTGAAGTCGTTCGATCATTCCAATCTCCAAGCTCCAATCTCTTATCTAACTGCCATAACTAGTTCATGTTGAGTTTTTTTTGTTGTAAAAACATATGTTTCATATTATTTAATGAGTTGTGTTTAAGGATTTTTTTAAAATTTATTATATCAGTAGAAAAATCCGGAACTAGTTCATTTTGATTTGATTTTTATTGCATGTTTGCAATCATAAATTTTGTAAACTAGCAGCAAGTTTATATAAGCGTTATTCATATTGCCATATTCAAGTTCCGGAGCTAGTTCATAATTTTCCAACTTATATTTGTGAATAATTTGTTGTACTTAAGATCTAGTTTATATTGTACCTATTCCAGTGCTACGCAATTATGGAATTACTCTCGAACTAATATGCATTATTATAAAAAATTATTAAAATTTATGTAGGCATTGCATAACCATACATACTCTATAAATATACTCTATAGATCCAAACAATGAATACAAAACTATAATACAAATAATTTCCATTTGAAAACGACTTATAGAAAAAAGTTCAGGAAAACAATTGTAACAATGGCTCAGCACAATTGTTTAGGCTTATCTTTTAATTGCTTAGATCTATGCAGATATACTTATCTATTCATATAGCCTTATAGGTTAACCATTGTTGTTGTTGTTGAAATATTTCCGGAATGCAGAATATGGTATGATATGCCAATTCAATTGTCTTGTGAGTCATGATAGCTAGACAAACTATAGACAAGTTCTTCCATAAGACTAAACTCCATAATTTATCTAGATAAATGCCTATATATGTGAAAGAGTACGTGTGTGTGTGTGTGTAATTACCTAGCTCACATTGTTTAATGAAATGACTTCGAACAACCTTCAAATGTCAGCGACTTTATTTTTCTTTTTGTATTATTTTTGAGCTTGGCTTACATTCAGGTAAATGTGTGTGAGTGTGAGTGTGTGTGTGTATGGAATGTAAGTGCATACATTAAAAACAACAACAATACAAGTGAAGTTGTCATGTAGGGAGTGCTCGACTAGGAATCTACCCTGATTGTCGAGAAGAGATGGGAAGGAATTCAGAATTCTATATACAAATTTCGATAGTTAGGTCTCTTCTTCTTCTAAAAGTCGGAGAACTTTAGGATTCCATGAGCTCTATTTGCCTGTTCCACAAATTTCAATCAGAAACAATATGCCCTATACATTTTCCTTGGACACTAGGGTATACAAAAAGCCAAGTGGAGTAGCTCGAAATTCCATTTTAAGGTAAAAAAACATATATGTATGAACAATACTTAAAAATGCATTGACGACTTCTTATAATTTTTGTTGTTGATTTTTCATGTTTTTAGACTCATTCACGAAAGTGAAATGAGTATATTGGTTTTGTGCAATGTCCGTCTTGCTGTCCGTCCGTCTGTCCGTCTGTCCGTCTGTCCGTNACATGTATAGTAAAATCGCGCTGATCTGCTGCTAGCTTGAAGCCGGTATCCAATATATGGATATAAATACATGTATATTATTAAAAGTCAAAATTGTATAAATTATATACATATGCATGTAATTTGAATGCAATTATGCAATGATCATAGCAATAGCTATCGATGATTTTCCCATTTTAAATGGGATCATGCCCTGTTTTTTGTTGCGCACTAGACTTGAAAATTGCACTATATACTCTGGTTGACAGCGTTTGGGCTGTGAATGAGTCTTCTGCAATCGGTATCGCCCGACTGCAACGTTCTTACTTGTTTAAGCTTTGAGTTTGACAGTTGGTCTGTCAAATAAATCTATTGTAAGTCTTTAAATGTGTATATATGTATACACAAATATACATATACATAAACACATATGTATCTGAGCTCACAAATCATAAAAAATGCAAACACAGCTGTTGTTTTTTTCTTGAATTTTTATTTATATTTTTTAACTATGCAAACAAAACAAAAACTGATACATTTAGTTTTAATTATATTATTTATAGTTTTCCTGCTGCTAAGCAAACGCCAAAAAAGTCCAAACCATAAATAAATAATTTCTGAAATCAAATACAAACAGATCTTGTTTATCAGGTTTATTCTCTGTTTGTTTGTTTTATTTTTTGCACAAAAGTTCAACAAAATCGAGCGCAAAAATCTGAGAAGAAGCAAAAAAAAAAAAAGAAAAAGGAATTAAAAACGTGAGCGAACGTAAACAATGAAGCGAAACAAGAATCTGAACTCTGATAAAAACTTTTGCAGCATTACGTATATGACTTATGTAAAGCTAATATTGATAAATAATCAAGTGAATTGACGTGATCATAAAGACAATTTGGCTCACAAAATTGTTGTGAAAGAGTCTTGGTAAAAACTGTGTCAGATTATGAAGGGAATGATAACAGAACGACAATATATGTATATTATCTTATCTGTATATCAGATCAGCTGTTGATATAATTTCAACTGATTGTGGATATTGATTTTTGTGATCTGTGCTGTGTACATTTTTATATTGATCTTTAAAATACTCTAGATAATCAGAGTTGAGGGATTAAGTATACGTATATATATATAATTGTACGATAGATGCTATATATTTATAAATTCTTATATATATTTTTCTAGAAGATTTCGTGGATTTCGGGAGCTCGACTTTTGAAACCTATCTATGATTCATTCTATCAATTTTGTATCTATGTACATAGATCATTGATATATTATACTATAATTTATCATTCATGGATTATATTTACAAACATCTAGATTGTGATTTGGGAGAGTCCATAGATGCTTAACCTTCATCGGCTTTTGTTTACTGATTAATGCATGCATCGACTGATCCGTATTTTTTATTCTATTGATCTCTTTGTCGAAATATAGCTAGGCATATATCATTGATGAAATTTTTGGCAAAACCGAGATGTTCTAACTATTTACTGATCCATCTATTCAAATCTATACAAATACATATCTTCGTACATATCGATAGGCTTCATCGATATCTTTGGCATATATTCTAGGCATCTATTCATCTAACTAGATATTCATTTCGCTATTTGATGCAGTTAGTAGTTGACCCTATCCCATTGCTAATTGCAGATTTGTTGCTCAGCACTTGAGCATTTTCTCTGCATCTATGAGATACTGGCTCTTTGATCTTCACATATGAGCATCATCATATCTGCTGTCAGAGGCAATTGCAGACTTGATTTGCAAAGATCTGTTACCTGTTTCTTCATCGCTTAGCTAGGCGGCCGGCACACTTGAAGCCCCCGCACGTATTGTCGGAATCGGGTCTGGCACTTGTGCAGCTGTCTCTCAGGCGGGCGCGTCTTAATGTTTTCTCTATGGCTTTCACGCCCATCACTCACGCCCACTCGTGGCACTCGTGTTAGCCAGGGCTAAAGAGACACTCGTGCTCGTCCCCACATTCGCGTCAATTTGCATAATTTTTAAATTAAAAAACTGAGTTTATGTAATGACATTTCTAACGGTTTCGTCTTGATGACTTCATAGGAAGTGCAAAGTGGACAAACACTTCGCCACACCGCGGCTACTGGACACGAAAAAACGAGGCTCGAATTTGCATAGAGCTGGACACTGGACAACGTCAGCGTCAACGTCATTCCGGGCCCAGGCGTTTGTTAGATTTATAAACCACTCTTAAACTGGTCAACATTAGAGTTATATCAGTCAACTGTTTATGTGTGCATCCATGTTCACTTGTACACCTCTCTCCTCTCTCTCTCTCTCTCTCCCTCTCTCTTTACGTGTCCATGTGAGCAATCTGCGTGATCAGCACACGACGCTAATGTACAGATCATGAGCACTGATTGCGTTTAGTGCATGAAAATTGGAAAAACTGGAAAACTTGTTTGTCCCCGGACTTGTTCTCTGCCTGCCACATGATCATCATCATCATCATTAGGATCATTATGATGATGTTCATCATCAGCATTGTCGCCGTCGCCGTCGCCGTTGCCGTCGCTTGGCTTGCCTTTTTCTGCTTATTAATTTCCAACACAAACTGTGCGGCATATCAACGCCAAATTACAAAGAGTCGTTCTTGTTCTCCCCTCTCTCACCCGTCTGCCTCCGCCCTCTCCCTTTCTCCCTCTCATTGTGTACTCTGCATGCACGCTGGGTCAGTGACGCCCCAGCTACGATCTATGCATACATCAGATGTCGACAGTTCGGAATCCAGTGCTCTAATTAATTAGAACGACTTTAATTTTAAAGCTGCTGTCAATGAATTGAGCAAAGGGCCCTGACCTGCTCAATGGCTAGCTTTATTGTTTGTCCTTATACCCAGTAAATGCTGAAGTGCTCCCAAAGAGGTGTGTTAAAGATACATAGATATATTCTAGATTGGGTTAAATATAAGTTTTCTATATAAAAAGAGAATATATTTCTAGTTATAATCAGTTAATTGAGTAATCGATTATTATCGATTTTTAATATGAGTATTAGAAATAAAGCTATAGGAGCCCGCTAATTTCTTCAGCTTTCTCTTTTCTCTTGCCTATTTTGGTGCATAGATAATTATCGACATATATCGATATATCTGCTTGGTTATTATTCGATTGCAATGCTTATTTTCTTCTAATATACAGGATATCTGCTAGTGGTGTATTCCCCTTTGGAGAACCTATTAAGTAATGCCTAGCAGCGTGACAATTTCAGCCCAAAGAAAAAATCTGATACGCAGTCCCCAAAAAAAAAGCTTTGGACCTTCACCTTCAGTTGTTGACGCTCTGTAACTTCAATTAATTTATGTTTATTTTCTTTTTTTGTGTATTTTGTTGTTATTTAACATCATTTCAACTGGTTCAACAAATTGTTGCTGTCGGTTGGCTTTTTAATGACCCGAGTCATGGTCTAAGGTTGCGCGACCACGCCCCAGGGCAAAGTGCTAAGCAGACCAACGATTGTTGTAATTCGAGTCGTACACCAAGTTCGAACCCTCGCTGATACACGTACTCTCGGCCACATTTAGCTGCGAATACCTATTTAAAGCGACCGATCGACAAATTGCGCGCGCATGTGCGAAAAGTGAAAGAGCCAGCGGCTACACTTGCAGAAATTATGAAGACTTTGATTGCAAAATGATATTTTCTACGCTAGGAATGAGAGATGAGAGAGTGGCAGAGAGATGGGGTATGTTGGTTATGTGATTTTATATGTGTTTTCTCTGGAAGTGGCAAAATGTGATGTATATAATGTTAAGGTAGGGTATCTACTAGTCGTATGGATTGCAGGTGCTTCATTTTTATATGTAATCAAGGCTTTTCCTGTGGTTTAAACTAGTAACAATGCTTCAAACAGTGTAGGTAGGGTATCCGCTAGTCGAGCCCTACTGACTAGATAATTCTAAATACCTACTATGATACTTAGAACATGATAGCTCGTCTCTAAGTAACAGTTGAAGTAAGTAGTTAGCTTTCAGCAGTGCCCTTAGCGTACCTGCTCGTCGATCAGTATTGACTTGAGAACTATAGCTGCGTACTGTTACTTTGGTTGCATCTGTAAAAAGTAGCTAGAATAGCTCTTAGCACTGCTCTTAGGGTATCTGCTAGTCGATCAGTATTGCCCAAATCACTCTTACCTGCCCAGCGTGCATTTGTGAAGTGTTTCGTGATAACACGTAGGCCAACAACAGCAATAGCAGCTACAGCTACAGCTACAGCTACAGCAACTAGATGCTGATGCGTGGTTGCACGCCGACTTGGGGCAATTCGCCAGCTGTAGAGACAGCCCCAACTGCAGCTGAAGTCTTAACAACAGCTACAGCTACAGCATCAGCATCAGCAACGGCCGTAGCTTTATGGCCAGATAAGCTGTGCTTGGCTAAGCAACACCCACTCAACGACTGACGGCTGACGAGTGCGGGCCAAACAGACACACACACTCATTTTCTTTACCCATATATACATATATATATGTATGTATTTTCTTGGTGGCACTGCCAGTTTTATGACCTCCATGGCGAGAGCAACATTTGGAACGCCTCTTAAGTCAGGTGCCTCTAAAAACTAGAAGAAGAAGCAGGAGTAGTAGAAAAAGCTCAGTTTTGGTAAATGCTGTTGTTGTTGTTGTTGTTTTTCTTTTATAGTATTTTGTTTAATAGTTCGTTGTGGCATGTTGGCTTTTTAATGGCCAGCATATAAATCTGTAAAGTGTGTCTGTGTGTCTGGCGTTTGTGCCTGGTGTGTGTGGCTTAAGCCATTTGAAAACTTTGTTGGCCAAGTCGCCTTTTGTGTAGTCGCCTGCTCAAGTGTCTAGCTTGGGCAGTTCTTGTGTGTAGACGTAGAGTAGGGTACGGTATAGTCTGGTTAGGGTATTCGTAGTTTTTTCATGGATTTTGTAACTGATCTGAAGAAACAGCGGCCCCTATAGCTGGCCTAAGAAGCCTTCTTATAAGAAATTTAATTAAGAAAAATATATTTCAAATAAAGCAAGAAAAAATCGTTCTTAAATAAAGCCAAGTTGATGCTATGAGTAACAAAATTATTTTCATTTGTAAATTTAATTTTAAATTATTTTTTAATTAAAAATTTTTCTTTGATAAGCCCAAGAAGTTTTAAACAAATTTTTTAATTAATAATTTATGATATATGAAATACATTTTTTATATTTTTTTTATTTATATTTGAGTTGACTTTCAATTCCAGAACTTTACAAAACTTAATAGTTATTTTATTAACTTAAAATATTTTATATTCCCAAACTTTTTTTTTATCATTGTAAGATTTCATTTCTGTTTTTATTGTCAACCAATAGCATATTAACTTCGACCTTATCGCATGGCCCTCTCAATATCTATATTTTTATTAATAGAATTTTTTTATGGGCTTGAGGAAAAATTCTGCTGGTCAACTGTTTGCTGGGCTCATAATGAATTGTTGCAGCCACAGAGTTTAGATAAATCCATATAATTCTATTGAGCTTTACACCTTCGTGTGTCGAGAACACCTTGATTTATGTTAAAGACTCAGCTATGCAAATGACAATAAAAACATTGACGTTGACTTCGTTTGGCGGCATCTTGAAAAAGTTTCAATAAAATTAAAAAAAAAAAAAAAACAAAATCTAGAAAAAAGTTGTTGATGTTGTGAGACTTTGTTGTTGGTCTTAAGGTCTTCTGGCCACAATTAAGTCATTCAATTCATTTCCTAGTCATGCACATTGCTGCTTGATTTAGGGCTGATGTTTGAGTACCTCGGAGCATACTTGAAATTCCATTGGCGCCGCGTCGCCTCAATTAAATCAATTGAGCAATCGGCAGGAGTGGGAAAAAATATCGGAAACTATGCGATTCGTGGCTGAACAGCAATAATGAGCGCCAATTAAACGCTGCCAGAGAAAACATGCAGCAATTAAATGTAAACACGCATTAAGTCACAAATAAACATTTTCCATTTCTGCACAATATTCAAATGTGAACAGGTATTTAAAAACTAAAAAAAAATCAAATTAAATCAAATGAAATTCATCAAACGAAAGGCGCAAAAATTAACACACAAACCGCAAGAAAAACAATTACTAATTATATAATGGGGAGTATTTGACGAGGAGATACCCTGGGATTGATAATTATGTACACTAATCAATATAAAAACCAGATTGAATAAATATAGCTCTTATAGTATACGATAAATGACTGTTATCGATTTTTATCGATTAAATGTAGCAGTCCATCATCTAGTGGTCCAGCTGTATATAGGTTATCAGGCCAGCCACACCACAATCGATTGCAGGGTATTTGAAAATAAAAGTTTTGTGAAACTCGCAAAAAAAAAAAAACTCGCCGACAGTCAAAAGACCCGCTTATCGCGCACATCTGGCCAAAAGGCGATAGCGTTTAATGGGCCGGTCTTAACGCTTTGTGCATGCCAAGCGAGTGACCCAGAGCTAGCTGCTAAAACACCTACATCTACATCTACATCGACAGCGACATTAGCGTCTACGTCTCACAACTCCTAATTAGCGCAGCTAATTGAAAAGCTCACGCGTCACTGCAACAACAACAACAACAATAGGCAAGCCTCGCTTTGTGTGTGTGTGTGTGTGACAATAAACACTGTGTCAAGACGTTAATTAAGTCAAAGTAAACAAACTGAGCTGACTAATCGAGGGCGTTGCATGCAACGACGCTTCCGACTGCAATGCTGCAGCTGTCTCTTGCCTATTGGCTGATGCGGCGTATGCGTAATATGTTAAATGTTTCTCTAAATAGCCTGAGAAGCGTGAGTAAGGGCAGCACATAAGAGCCGAGCCTGAGAGAGCTTTGTTCTCATCTTTGTTTCATTGTAAAAAGCGGAAATTAGTTGAGAGTCTACCTACTACCTCTAATTTAATTGAATAAGCTCAATTCTGTAGGATTGAAATAGAAAAGATACATATAATCGCATTTGCACTCATGCAGTAAAGGTTTCCCTTAAATCGTATTTGGTATGTGGGTTCTTATATAGGAAGTATTTGCAGTGATTCATTTCTATTGCAACTTGGACTACAGGGTACCATCTAGTCATGCGTTTATTTTTACATCAACTTGCTCTTATTATTGCGTATGCCATTCGCATAGCTGCGCGTTACATTACGTGCACTGCACATTGTTATTCTTAACCAAAAAAAAAAAATACCAAATAAATCTTCAGTTCAACAAAATAAAGAAATGCAAGAAACGCTTAAAGAAACAACGGCTACAAAATATTTATTACGTAAACCAATTAGATGGCATGGCGCGCGGCATTTGCATGCAAATGCATAATTTATGAATGCATTCATTTTATTTTTGGCCCAAAAATGAAAAGAAAGAAAGAAATATGTAAASCAAAGCAAAACAGAAGATGAAGCCAAAGTCGAAGCCAAACCCGAAGCCAAATCAAACGAGTGTAAAATGCAGGCGCAAATGAAGCAATTAAATTCAGACACATAAAAGAAAACAAACCCAAAATAATATTATGGAATTTACGAATGCAATAAAAGCATAAGAAATGCCCATAAGAAAAATTATGTTAATATTTTGAATTTGATTTTGATGTTTTCCAATGCGGAAAGGCATAAGAAAACAAGTAAGAACGTTGCAGTCGGGCGTTACCGACTGCGGAATACTCATTCACATCCCATCAACAATTTAGTAGTTAAGTTTCGTTCTAATACTGTAGAATATACAGGTTTTTCCGATTTGCCACGCCCCAACTGGGCGTAGACACCTCATTTTTGGTCAGTTTTTAGAAAGAGATAACGTTACCCTAACTGCAAAGTTTGAATGCTTACCCTAAAAAAATGTGAAAATTACAGGGTATTTTTCGATAT